GATTATCAAGACCAACTATTAACCCAGGAATGTCAAGTCCACCTGTAGACCATATCACTAAGCACCATGATGATGATGGTGACAATCATGACTCTGCCAGCTTCAAGCTCAAAGCGAGCGTTTTCCTGGACGTTATGGGTAGAGGTATGCAGCTAGTTTTAAAAAATAAATATTTAGTTTTTAAAGTAAAGACATGAACTTTTTTTAATTCTACCAACTTTCACGTTTTACATCTCCCCTGAGCTGGGAACTCTTCCCCTTTGCCATAACAGCACACGAATAATAGTATGAATTCTCATTCAGAGCTTCCCCAACTTTTTGGATATTTGACACCAAGGTTTCCTCCTCAACAATAAAGCAAACAACATGCCCCTCCAAAGCCATCCCTGCATTTCTTGACTCTTCCTCAAACATCTCCAGAATGAAACCACATCAGGAAACACATCAGCCTGGAAAAGGAGAGGTTCCCAGAGGTACCAAGACCCAGAGCAGCAACTCCCCATCCTGCTTGCCATGGGGACGGGGTTCTGCACACACACTTGCATTCACCCAGCTTTAGAGATGGTGCTGGCTTTGGAAAGTGTTTTTACTGTTTGCTGGGTTAGCTTACAGAGCTGTGAGGGTATGTGGCTCCGTAGAGCCTGGGGCTCTTCACTGGTGACAGCAGGTTGCAGGGAACGGGTGATGAGCTCCACTGCTGCTCCTCACAGGCTCAGGTGATGTGGAGATGAGCAAAGTTTCCCCCATGCGGGAGAGGGGAAGGCACCTGAAGGGCAATCAGAGTTTGGTCTTGGTTTAGAAAATAAAGGGGAAATGGCCAGTGTGGCAAGATGCGTTGTAAAACGTGTGTGTAAAAGACTCATATTGGACTCAAAGCACAGGGGACATCATGGACTGTTAGCTGCAAAACATCAACACTTACAAAGCCAACAGTGGCTGAAAATCACCCACTTTTGTTTAAAGCTCCTATTAAATTTGTTCCTTGGCGGATGCAGACATTACCCAGCTGGAAACCTCTCCTGTCCTGAAGGTCTGGTGTGTGTCAGCCAAGATGAGCTGGAGTTGAGTCACTGCTAACTGCAAAATCGAAGTGACAAGTAATTATTGTTTTATAGACTTGATAAAACTGAAATAGCTGCAAACCGAATATTTATCTTCAATCTAATTTTTATACAATGATGGTATCTTCGGAGCTTAAACACTTCTCTCTGGTGCTTCATCCACCCATTCACTTTTGTCTCATAATTCACATTTTTAAAGTACATGTTGTGCTTTGTGGGCAGTGCCAGTCATCAGCTGGGCTCTCTGGCAGCAATTAAAAGGCACGCTGCAAAAATATCCTATTTTGGCAATACTGCCGATCGCCGCCTCTCTTACAGCCGCTGCCACTGTCTCTTGCAGCAACACCACACACAGTTCCACCAGCTGCAGAGATGATCAGAGCCTGCTTGGGTGAGCGCGGGGATGACAGGATGAGGGCAATCGTAGGCTGAAGATTTCATCCACGCAGCCAGGATTTGGAAAAGTGCTTCTATTCTTGCTGTGCACGAAGGGATGGAGAGGCACAGTTAAGTCAACCCTAATAAACAAACAAGCTAATAAACAGATTTTTATTTACTTTCCCTCTCCAAGTCAAACACATCCTATGGACACTGCATCGAACTGCACCCAAAGTGCCCTGAAGCAGCACTGTTCAATGTCAGCAGCCCCCAGCAAGCCCTGCTCGTCAGGTGAATGACGATGACGACACAGCAATACGGTGCAGCACTGGGTTTATGCCTGCCTGGGACAGGGCATCCATCCAGGCAGCCCGTGGAGGGACATGGGTTCCTTGGGCTGGGTTCTCAGGAGGCTTGTGCACACCCTGAACACAGTGCACAGCTGGATCTGATGATAACCACCAGCCTCTTGGGCAAATCTTTCAGCTCCCCAGTTCCTCTCCTCACTCTTTTCTGGGGATAACGCCTGGGACAGGCCCTGAGGAGGTAAATGGGCAGAGCTCAAAGAGTTTTAGAGAAAAGGAAAAAGCACAGCGAAGGAAGAAGGCTGATTGCAAAACCCCTTCACCAAGGTTTTCTCCACGATGCCAGAATATGACTTGGAACTTATTAAACAGCACATCAGCCTCCTAAAGACATTTTGCCCCAAATTGTCTTCTTGGTATTTCTTTTAAAAGAAATCTTGAAAAAAAACATTTACAACTAAGACCCGCACATCAGACATTAGCAGTTTTCCTTCTCTTCCCACTCTCATCTTTTCCACCCCTCTGAATATATTTGAGCCGAGTAAAGTAACATGGAGGTACTGCTTCAAGGCTTTTTAAGCTACAATAATCTGCTTATATCATTATAGATCCTCAGCTGCCGCATGTATTTAGACCTTTAACAAAATTTGCTAGGACTTTTTGCACAGGTGGAAGAAATAAAGCAGGTTAAAAAAAATGCAAGATCCATCCAAGCAATCTTATGGGTCTTCTTGTAGTATGTACTTCTCACAAGGAGGTTCAGCTGTTTCTGTCCCTTTCCCAAATGCCGCACGGCTCCTTTCAGGTCCCTGCACTTGCCTTGGACATGGTTTTGCAGCAAGTTGCTGCTCAGGGCTGGAGGAGATGGTTATCCTGCTTCAGCGAGCAAAGCAGACAGCTCTCAGTAGCTGAGGTGTGGTGAGAAGGACATCAACTCAAAGCCTGAAGTCCTCAGAAACCACCTGATACCTCATAGACTTCAGACATGCAAGACAAGAAAAATGCTTCTGTTCTGTTTTCAAAAGCACGGCTTCTTTTAATGGGTAACCAGTGATGATCTTGGCTTTTACATATCCCAGGGAGCTTAAGAGCAAGTCTCCTGCCTGACCAAGCAATTCGGTCAGCTGAAAACCATCAAGAAGCTCCTGGATTCTGCCTAGTGCGCAGTGATGATGGTTGCAAGATGTGCCATGGCCAAGGATTTGCTGACAGGCAACATACCTCTCCCCCCGTCCCACCTAAACTGAAGTTCTGTTCGTTTCCTGCAGAAGGGTAGAACAAATCGAAGCCTGTCACCCTCACCCCAAGCCCACCAGTAGTCTGGGACAGTCCTGGAGGGCATCAGTGGCAACTGCCCTCCAAACCTCCTGCCCATTCTCTCACCTCCACAACGCAGGCATTCAAAGTATTGCCACTGAAAGGTCCATTGGCGAGGTTATAATTTATGCTGAAGACAAGCACTTGCTGATGGTCACATTAAGTGCACAGGTGAGATGGGAATTGCTTTGCCTTCCTCACAAAGTTCCTACCCACACCCTTGGTGTCATCATCGTCATCGACAAGGAAAAAAAGAAAAAAGATAATTAAAGCTAATAGGTGCCTGAAAGAAAACTGATGTACAGAAAGCCCAATATGTGTCTGTAACACCACGTCTGTGTGGGGAAATTCTTAGCGCATTTAGAAGATGATCCACATTTGAAAAGCACAGACCCGATTCCATCACTCTTGTATTACCTGCGGAAGCTTTAGAAAGTGCTTTTTGAGAGAAGACTTTGTGGGATCAAGCCCCAGGACTCTTTATTAATTAAAGTGTTTAAATAATTGAAATGCGTAGTCTCTTGCCTCTCCTTAGCACGGCCACTTGCCCGAGAGCTGACATAAATTATGAATAAAATCATATGCCCAAGGACGGAGTTATCACCTTGAAGAATTCGTAACAGCTTAACAGGCTCCACAGCACTCAGAGATGCCAACAGCCCTAGGAAGGATGATGGCGATGGGAGGAGAGGTGAAACTGCACCTCCAGGGAGGTCAGGATACTTGGGAACATCTGCATGATCAAAACAGAGAGGATTTAGGAAAATCAGAATTTTCTGGCAATTTTTGAGCATTAAGAGGGTAAAGAGTACTTGGTGAAACCTGCCAGCGAAGATTCCATCACTGAGCTGTGGCACGGAAATCTACTGGCACTTGAGTTGTCCCAACCCTGCGACACAGCAACCACTCAGCTCAAACCAAGGTTCACAGGAGATCAGGGGACCAAGAGCTTGCAGCACTCAGAAGTAGCTTCTACTTTAAGAAATAGCTTCTACCTTAAGACAACAGCTTGGTCCCACAGCCTCACAAACACTGCTGGGGCACGCTGCTCGTGCTGGAGGTGCTCACACCCAGCCCTGCCTGAATTAGAGTAATGCCCGAGCCTCTCCCTGGAGGGGGGCATCCTCCCTACCCCACAGCCTGAAAGGCAAAGGAAAACCCCTGAATGAAAGGAAGCATGAGGAAGTTGCCTTTTGGGGGGGGTTATTATTGGACATAGTCTAGGTATGGCACAGCACTGATCAGGAACAAAATCTTCTAACAGACTCTCCCACCACACTCGGAGCAAACGTTGGAGGAGATCTCTTTTGTCAATAAATACCCTAGTAACTCTAGAGGCTTTCAGAAGCCACCAGTGATTTTTGAGGGACTTGAAACCCTTTTAAACGATCTGATTTTCCGGAGTTCTGGTGGAAAATGTCCTATGGTGAAAGGCTTTGGGCTGAGTGTTGGCTCCAGTGTTGGCAACCTCAGCAGAAGATGCCGTTAATGCAGTCTCACGGCCTATTCCATGTGCGTCAGAGCAATGAAATCAACACAATACAGAAACCTGTGATCTGGCAAAGTTTCTCCATGGGACGCTGTGCAAACCTGGCCCTCATGTGGTGTCAGTGAGGGAAGGAATAACAGCACAGGTAACAATCGCCTTTGAAATAATAAATACAAAGGTGTGGGGGTTTTTTTTCTCTTTTTCTTTTTTTTTCTTTTTTTTTTAATAAGCATTTGTTAAAAATATTGCATCTGCTTCTGAGAAGGTAATATTTTCTCCATACAATATGGAAAAATAAACTCTACAGGACACGCAACTGGTACCCCCAGTTGGCACAGAGGTGCTCTCAGAGATGAGAGCCACAGACTCATCCCCATGGAGGGCTGGTTTTGCCTTCTTCATCCCCAGACTCTGAAAATATCGTGTCATAGGAATGGTAAAAGACAAGAATACATAAAAACAGTAAAATGTTTATTTTCTTAGAAAAAAAGAGATTCAAAATGATTGTGATCACACTCCCATTCGTGCTCAGCAAAGCCAATACTGCAAGCTTAGTCCTTGATTAAGATACCTATTAAATGAAACTCTTTTTCCTCTTAAAATACAAATTCCTGCTCCTGCATCACTTCCAGTATTTCAGTGATAACATGCTTCTAATGGATAATAATTTCTCAGATTCTTCTCGGCAGAGAAACAAGGCCTGCCATGGCAAAACATCCCATCTCCAAAGCTCGAAATCATCAGCATTAATAAGCACTCCGGCCCAAACGCGGACGGACAGACAGCTTAAGGGTGTTTCTTAGATGCTTGAATGTTCACTTATGGAAGCTTTTGTATAACACTACCTCATCTGATAGAAAACAGGCCAGAGGCCCCGATAAAATCAACAACGTCTTTTGGATTAACTTTTTAAGGATTTGCTGCGTATCTGGACACAGAAAAAAGTGAGAAGTTGCAACAAGTTTTAACTAGCAGCAACGAAAACAGTTCCTTACAAGTTCTTAGCAATATTCCTCATCTGTTCATTAAGAAACACTGTAACTGAATGGAGCATATAATGTGGAAATGATCTTCTTCTGTTATGTAGTGCTGTTCGCTCTAGAAGACTTCCAAAAGGTCTCGACTGGGTTGTAATCTATTTACACAGTAGTAACTCCTGGTGCGGGCGGCAGAATTGGCACTATGTGACATCCTCCTCTTCTGAACAATAGTCACGACCCTGCAAGGAGAAGAGTCAGACAGTCCATAAGTAAGTGACGACTTCAGAAGTCGGGAGTAACATAAATCAAGGGAATGTTTACTAGTAATACATATTGGTTCTCTAAACTTAGGAGATTTAAGTTCAGAGCTGGGCAAAATACCTTAAAAATAGGGAATGGAGTTTGCACAACTCCTCCACCCATTTCTGGAAGGGTTGCATGAAACCAGGATAGAAGCCTCCTCCCCTTCTGTCACTATTAATCTCATCAATTCCCCCCGCCCCCCGCCCCCGAATTCTGGGGGGAGTCCAATAAACTGATTTTATGTAAAGATACACCTCGATGGAGACAACCCTACAGAAAACATAATTTTCAAGGCAATAGCAATGTAACCCTGCAAGTAACCCAGGCCAGCTGCTGAAGATAAGAACACCTCACCTGATGACAGCCTCAGCAAGAGGCAAACGTAAGAACAAAAGATACTGAAATGAGACCTGTGCAATGGGGGAAAACAGGCTAAACTTCACGAAATTTCTTGGAGACTGGCCTTCTGTCCCATCCCAAACACAAGACTCGCAGCAGCACCTACCTAAGTATTGCCCTCGGGAAGTTCTGGAAAAGATAGGTCCCAGCCCTCACGAGCTGTTTCTTGTGAAACAGCGAGAAGAGGAGCCAACAGGACCCACTGTCCTTGTTTCTCTACACAGAAGCAGCCAGAGCTGAGCTTTTCAACACACGAGCCACCCGAGATACTCGGTTTAAAACAGGTGCCTCAAACGTAGTACCAGAACTCTCCACCTCTGGTCTCTTTCCCACTGTTCCCGTGTGCCAGGTGTATCACACCACATGGATCACACATGTGTAAAACCCCAGCAGCCAAGCAAAGGGCTGGTGAAGAGGAAGAGAACAAACACGAGAGTCTGAGACCTGCAATAACGCGTAAAAGCTCAACAACTCCCTGTAAAGCAGAAGAGCCCACCTTAGCTCTACTCACACAAGGGGAGGATACCCAGTTGCCCCACAAATCAAAAACCAGTCACTGTCCTGCCTGGAAAGGGGGATAAAAAAAAACAAAAAAAAAAAACAAAAGGAGAGATGTTTCTTGATGCAGCCATCAGTTTATTTGGGATGTACAGCTGGGGTGTACGTCAGGCTCCAAAATGTCTCTGCAATTAAAATGATGCTGGGATCACAGCATTTGCTTTGCTGGAGGCTCCACACCCAGGAATGTGCAGTGCTTTAACAGCTCTCAGTGGCCCAATGCTATTAGTAAAAGGGCTTTCTTAGTATGTTAAAAAAAACAACCCACACCCAAGAGATTAATCAGCCCTAATTTCAATTCAGCAATCACTGACCCAGAAAGGAAGAAAAAAAAAAAATTTTAAAGTAAAATATTTCACTTGGAAAGAATGCCAGAATAACTTTGCAGCAAACCCCAAATCCATTGGTTTTCTCCACGCCAGGGCCCACGCTGCATTTGGACAAACCCACGAGACTAAGGTGGTGGTGATGAAGGCTTTGTCCAGCACACTTCAGAGCTGTGAAAGCCACCAGTAGCGAGTGATGACTGAGGCTCAGGGCATTTCCAGGAGATTCATCTACCAGGTTCCTTGGTCTCCTGTGCAGGAGGGAGCCCCATGGACCAACATTCCCCACTGTGCTCCACACCACTGGCCATCAGTGCTATTAAAGGCTCAGACAGACCCAAACCATTCTAGAAGGAAAACGAAGCATGTGGGGCTCAGCTCAGCAAGGTCTGTGGGAGAAATCATGCTACAAGGAAGCCCAAAAAGTTACAACTCCTAGGTTTGGCTGGGTTTTGGTTTTTTTTTTAGACAGAAGCTTTTGTCTAAAGCTTATCCTGTAATTAATTTTTGATCAGTAATAACAAGGTCAGTGTTCCTCAGGATGTTAAAAGAATAAAGCTACCTTTCCCACCATGTTGTAAAGCTTTCTCCTTGGTGCTCCATGGGCAGAAAGGCAGGCGAGGTCCCCATGTCCCCACTGGCAGAGAATGAAGGCTGCTTTGGTCTTGCTGAGCACTGTGGCCCCAATCCAGTAAAGTACTTTAAAATGTCCATTTTTGACACCCTTGGTTGTTTTAGAAGATGTTTGATAGATGCTGGAGAAGATGATAACCTTGAGTGGCCACACCTGCAAGGAGCAAGAGGCCTGCTTTGCTTGAGACGGGGAATTACCCTGGTGGGGACGGGAAAAAGCCTTGCTCGGAACAGTCAGCTAACAGCTTGCAAGGGTCTTAAGCAGAAAATAGAGACCACGCAAAGCAGCAGTCAGGTCACGAGCTAAGCAACAGCAGCAGAAGTCCTCCAGTACTATCCAAGTGCAGACTGAAGTGATGATGAGGGGTGTTCTTTGGGGAGGAACAGATAGGTGTCAGGAAGAGCAAGAAGAAATCTCAAATAGAGCAGCACTGTGGCTGGAAAAGGGGCAAATCCTGTCCCCTGCTGCCCAGGGGAGCATGTGCTGACGTCCAAAGGAGAGACGGGCACAGACCATGTGGCTAATAACAGGAATGCACAGGCACCCTTCACAGTCCTTAATAGCATGGGCTACTAAATAAGTTTTAATGATTGAGAGTGCAAATGAATGACACCAAGGAAGATGAGAACAGGAACATGCTTATCCAAGTCCAGGCAATTCCTGAGAAACCTCATCTTACTTCCCTGCAGTTTCAAAATCCAGCCTTTTGTAGGTGTCCACAGAAATGCCTTAAGGCAAATGTGTGAATATCAGGTCATTTAACGGCAGCCTCGCGCTCCTTTCCTGCTGCTTGTACCCAAACCAGAAGGGCTCGTTCTCCTGCTCTCTTCCCTTGTGCTACCATCCCATAGGAAAAACAAAAAGAAAAAAAACCCACAGGAAAAGCCCTTTTCCCCATTGTTGCGGCTGACAGGCTGACAAACAAAGCGCCACGCTGCCCGAATGCTGAAGCCCTCTCGGTTCAATAGCCTTCTGTGTGGATGGCGGGCTCACGAGATGCTTCCTCTGCAGCTTGGCACCCGCACCCCCACACCGCGGCCCTGGCGAGGAAGAGGAAGAAGAGGAGGCTGGCCGGCCCCGGGAGAGGGAAATGAGCTGCACCAAGCAGCCCTTTCTTCTGCGCAGGCTGAAAGAGCTCACGGGACACAGTGGGCCCTTTCAGAGGAGGTGCCCAGCGCTGGGAAACGTTAGCTCAGCTCCGCAGTGGGAACCCTCTTCTCATCAAGCTGGTTTTGTTTATGGCCCTCGCAAGAAAGGACGGAAAGAAAATGCCGGGAGGCTGCACTAAATCATTCTGTGCCACGCTCGTTTTTTCCCGTTTCTTAGAGCAAAATGAAGAGAGTCATTAAGAGCAATCCACTTTGCTAAAAAGTTTGAGCCTAGTAATTCTGCCCCTGCAGACATTTCGGTGAGCAACCTCTCTTTTCTAACGGCACTCTTTAAATACGACACAAGGAGCCGCATTGTGTCTCCCCTCCGCACTCCATGCCCAGTTTTACTAATGAAGGCACGAAGCGAGTTGCCACCGGGCATCTCTCCAAAGGCCTCCAACAACGAGCTGTCTTCCCCAGGGGCCAGGTGTGTGGGTCAGCAGGGAAACTCCCAACACTGGTGAGCAAGACTGAGTTCCCACTCGACCCAGAGCAGCCAAACCGCACCTCCCCAGGCTTGGGGTGCCCACCTGCCGCATGAGAGCCCGTCCCAAGACACCATCACATGCGACAACATCTTTTAGTTTCTTTCCATTAGTGTGTCTGCACTGTGATTATTCTTTATAAACTACTGTGGCCCTGCAGGATACAACTTATGATGACGGGACTACTGGTGAGGTACTCTGGTACAGCTTACCTGGATTGTTTTGGGGTTTTGTGCTGTGGGTTTTTTTAAACCACAAAGCCAGAGATGTTTTTCTTCTGGGGGTACAATCCCCAGATACAGTCCTAGAAATTGCTTGTCAACTGCTCAATTATCCCTTAGCTTTGGTAGTTTTTCCTACAGTGAGACAGCTGCCTACACACTGTGCCACAGCCTACAGCAATATTAGATATTTAAAGGGGATAATTTCTGAAGATCGTTTTATTGCTCCATACGTAGGTTTCCAAGAAAGCAGTTTCAGATCATTTTCCATGATAGCTGTCATCAAAATGTTTTCACTAGCAAATGCTAAATGCAGTGAATTTTCCACACCCAACATTTTATACGTCACAGCTTTTAATTTTGCTTTTATTTAGTATTTTCATGGAAGCCTTGGTGAGACAAGGCCCTCCTCAAGTCTGCAGACCTGAGGCTGCAAAGTCGATGCCCAGGCTTAACTCCCCATTCTGAGCCACCCTGTTCAATTAATGGGATTTCTTCTCAGGGGTAAGGCGGTCCCACAGCATCAGGGTCCAAATAAAGTGGAGAGTTAGAAGGGTGGGAAAGCAAAAACAGACTGGAGAAATTTTAGGAGAGATGGTAATTCTTCTGCTGCGTTTCACGGCAAGTCTTCGTGAATCCATGTACAATATCTAACTAAATTAGTGATTAGAGAGAACATACGAAACTCCCTTGTTTGACTGAATACAACACAAATGGCTTAATTTTGCTTTAGCAGACAGCAGAAAACATCATGTGTCGTGCTGACAGGGATGATGTTGGCAGGACACATTTCTATCTTCTTAATCAGACACAATACTTAAACCCCAGGTTGATCTCACCATGACGGGTGCAGCGACTGTCCCTGTCCCAGCTCGGCTGGTAGGGCCCACCTCTCCTCTTCTGGGCATCACAGAGCACATCTCAGATTTATCCAGCAGCTGCTGTGTTCGTTTTAGGAGGAGGGATGTGTCAGTTGCTCTCTGCTTCCTTCTCAGGTTTCCGAAGTCGTATTTCTGCCTTGATTTCTCAGCTCAAGCAAATCACTTGCACCTCTGACCCACATGTTTCTAATTTACATGGAGGGGACTCTCTCCTCAAGCTTAATTGCTGCTAGTATCTGTTGCTCAACCTCTGCTGAAATGTATTTATATGACTCGAGGGAAGCCCGATTTTCAAAAAAATGATGCTTCAGATTCATTCAACCTTTTAACCTTCTGGTTCCCATCTGTCTGGATGCACGTTGCTACACCACGAAAACTCTGTCACATGAAGTACAACGTGGTCTGTCGTAATATACGATATACATGTATGACATCACATATGAACTACAACTACTGTTCCCTGTGCTGGCAACTGCTGAACTCTCCTCCCAGCTTCCCACATAACTTTGTGTCTCTGGCGTCTCATCAGGTTTTGGGTGGTTTTTTTAGCTCAAATTCTGATGCCTTTGAAACGACTGGGTTGACTCCAGCAGAACCAACACCTAACCCTACGTGCGAGGCTGACTTTTACATTCCCAGTCTGTCCCACCTCAGCCTTCATTTCTGTATTTCTTCCTTCTGACAAACCCTATGAATTGAATCACCATATTCTCACGCAGTTCCACACACGCAAGTTCAGCTCTAGCTCTCTGATCGGGGACAGACACTCGTGCAGAGACAGGAACAGATGTCTCCTCCCTCTGAATGCCTCACAGTGTTTTGACACTGAATTTTGGTAGACAGAAGCTCCAGGCTTTGGGGTTGACATTCTGGTTTTTAACTTTGGGTGGCTTTTGCAGAAGAAGTGCAGTTTCGTATAGGCAGCCAGGAATGCGGGCGCATGGCTGGGTACTGACAGGTGCTGGGCTTTCACAGAAATCCTTCAGATCATTTCATTAAGTGTTTCTCTCATCTCCAGGATTCATAAACACTTCACATTTTCAGCTGCTAAAGCATCAGCCTGTGTTCTTCCCATTTCATGCTTTGATTGCAGACATTCTATTTTAGCTGACCTTCCTGTCCATTTAATTGCCTTCCTGAGTCCAAAACGCCCATTTAATTTTCCTCTCTAATTTGTAGCACACACTATGGATTTGTTGTTCCTCATTTGTATTAGGCGACCTAACACCCCTTGGGATTTTAACGCAAGTTGAGGGACGTTTTCCTTCTGAATGTAGAGTTTCTGTAGATGTAAGCCCATGGAGTTACTGATGGACAGAGTGTCTCCATCGAACACTACTCATGGCCATGGTTTCAACACAAACATTAAAACATGTTTTGGGACCTCATCAACCACAGGCAACGCCCCCCCCACTTCTGCAGGCTATTTCAGCTCTAGCTGGTGAGCTGCTCTGTGGTATAATTCTTTTAATCATTCGACTGCTCTCCTCCATTTCCGTGGAGAAGGGACTCAAAATGTTACTTAGGGATCATATTTTTCAGTCTTTTTGGCATTCATGGCAGATACCTAGAAAAACAATGTACTGTGGGAGAAGATTAATTAAAACTCCCAAAATTTCTCTTAGGAAGACTATTTCCGCAGGCACAGGAGGTCCCCAGAGAAAGCAAATCCCATGTTCAGCTGCGCATTAACTTCTGCCAATCCCATCAGCTGTCAGCAGCTTGAAACGCAAGGGAGCCGTCTTCTGACAGATAAAACTGTGTATTTCCTCTAAATAGTCTATCTCCTGATCTAGAAGATAAATTAACACAAGAGCCCTGGAGAACACCTGCAAGCGCCTAAGAGCATGGTCCAAACAGCGAGGAGACATGGTCAGTTGCATCTCAGTGTAGCAGCTGGTGAACGAATGGTGTTAGTGCACCGAAACAAACCTCGAAAACAAAAACTAACTCCAATGCATAATTAGATACAGACATCAGATGGTCTGGTTCGTAGATAAGATAGATCTCTGGAAAATCCATTTCACTGAAGATTCTGCACTTTGCATTATGGAAGGTGATGATGTCCCCAGCTAAATATTTATAGGGTGAATCCATTTATTCAAAGGAGATGTAGCTATCTTACGGATATGTAGAAATTCTACTTCTAAATGCATATAGGTTAGGTAAAACCTTACTCCTGTGAAATGCTGGTACAGAAATACTCTTCTCAGGAATCTACAAACTCCTCCTCACTTCTACTCTTCCCCTTTATCTAACTTTTGGCTTTCGTTAAATGATTTATTTTTTTTCTGAAGCAGCATAACAAACTTCGAATTTAGGACAAATAAGAGACTCGGCTGTTGTAGAATCACAGAATCATAGAATGGCATAGGCTGGAAGGGACCTTAGAGATCATCTAGTCCCACCTCCCTGTAGCATTCCAACTCCTAAGACCAGGAGCATCAGAGAAAATGGCAGAAATTCAGAGTCATCTCCTACCCCACAACCCAACTCTCCAGCTTGGGAGTACAGATGACTGTAATCTAATTGGGGAAATAAATACTTAAGGTTGAGTACCAAATAAGATAAACTATTCCAAAACATGAAGTATAAAGAATACATCGGTGGGTGAACTGGTATCAGCTCAAGATATAAGCAAAGGCCAAGATCCAGACTTGACTGAAACTGCCCATTTACCCACCAAACTCTCAGTTTCTCACCTACACTGTGGTACAATTGTCCACTATCATCTCACAGAGACACTGAGATTCTCATTTAAAAGACTTGTGAAACACATGAAAGCTGCTACCTAGACAGTATCATATGTCAGGAACTACTCACCCTCTCAAAACATCTCCAGCATCATTATTTTACTCAGCATAGGTCTTTACCCAGCAGTCCATGCATATCCTGGATGTTTGCATTCATTTGTCATTCATCCTAGGCCAGTGATATTTCCACCAAACCAAAGGCTTCTTTCCAGAACCTCCTGCAGCCTCTTTACCTTTTTGGTCGTCTTTGCACTTGAATTGTCTAACCAACAAGAAGTAAGGGACCAGAGTTCCTCCAAGTACTGGAGAACGTGGACGACTGCAACAGAGCATCTGGTTGTCCTCCCCATGGAGCTGGGAAACCTGCATGTCCGCTCCTCGAGTGAAAACATATGTTTATTACTGCATCTTACCTTTTCAATTTTTTCATCAAGCATTCTGAAGAATTCTTGTTGGCTTTCAGAGATGTGCATGCTGAAAGGCAAAGGAAGAGTATCAGTACCAATGGGATTTCTTCTGTTTCGAAATACTGATGCTGCAGTCCAGGGCTGTTGAGGGACTCAGCTGTAAGCTTTTTTGTTCACATTTTCACTGTGAAATATAAATCACTTCACACTTTCATCCACAATGAAATATTTTAATGCATCTTTTTCTTTTCTTTTTTCTTCTGTTGGGATGGTAGCTAGAAACTTAATAGCCCAATACCTTTCCTTGGGCCACAGAGAGCCCCCTCTACATCAAGACTTAAGGTCTTCTAAGACTGCCAACCACATTACCACAAAATGAGATACCTGCAATGTGAGGTTAAAGCCTTGCACTGGAAGATCTGCAACACTCAAGAACATCTACAAGCCCAGATCAGATCCAGCAGATTATTCACTTAAATTACTTCTACGGAGCCAAGAGGCTCGGGGTTAGCGTTACGGTTTTGCATTAGAGAGGAAGGCTACAAGATACTGGTATTTGTTGTCTGAAAAGCTCTGGTGGTGACACAAGACAACAGGCCCTTCCCCAAGGGGGCCCTGCAAGCTAAAAGCCCAGGAAGGTCACACAAAGGAAAGGATGGGGCAACAAGGACGAGGATGCACAGCAGATGGCATTTGGGTATTATTTCTTTTATGGAGTGGTAAGAGCCTCCTTCCTGGACTAACGATATCCCTCTAGGAAGGTGGAGCTAAAGCATCCTCCAGACCCGCAGCGGGGAGGAGGGCCTGGGCCCATGGGGGCTGGAGGAGAGGACGAGGGACTCAACATGGGCCAAAAAAAAGATGTGGAAAAAGGCTGGATAGGAGACTGATGCCAGTGTCAACAGCGGTGCCAGATGGTTAGAAGGACAGCTCTCTGAGATTTCCTCTGACAGTAAAAGCTGGGTTGGCTTACTGAATTCCCACCCCAGCCCCCTCTTCCTCAGCAGGATCCTTTCAGCTGTAATGAGTTAATACTTCTCCCAAATGCCCAACAACACGACGCACTTCCCCACAAACCTCAGCATTCACCCTCTACTCGCTATCGGGGTGAATGTATACAATGATTTGCTTATGCCGGCCATAAATGAAGGCTCAGTTCAGAGGAGGAGGTCTCACAAGTGGCATTAAAACCTAAAATTGGTAATTCAGAAGAGGGAACAATCCACCTTTCAGAGGCTGTGGGAGTTTCTGTCCCCAGCTGTCTGCCCGTCCCTCAGGTTCCCACCTCCACCTGAGGTGGGGAGAAGATGTTTGTCTGGGGCATATTCAGGTGTCTTGGAGAGGGAGTTCAGGGCTCAGGGCAGCACCGCCCTTTCTGGGTAGGTAAGCGCTAGAAAGGTGCCCTCGCCTTTGCAACTCACAGATCCAGTTTCTAATAAAACGAGGTGACAGTGTAGGGACCCACCCCAACCATAATTTATAAGGAAACTAAATGAAGGGGGGAAAAAAACCCCAAACAGAGTATTGTGCTGCCAAATAGATGCAAAGTCCCATACGAGGTCTTCAGCCTTTGCAGGTCATGATCTTCAGTGAAGTTTTACTGGGCAGCAACCCTGCAATCTAGAGATGCAACATGCACACATATGCTGACACAGCGTGGACTTTGAGGAGCCATGTGAAATTGTAAAATCTATAGCCAGGCAGGGAACTGACAGCATTAAGGAACAACTGGAAGAGCTGAAAAAACACCAACTGTAAGCAGCATTCTTGGGTATCCCTCCAGAAAGAAAAACTTTATCCAAAGAGAAATTTAATTTTAATAAAATAGGATTTAACTTTCCTTGCAATAAGCACATCAGAAGGCAGGAAAATGCATTTTTATATGTCTCATGGCAGGCCAATGGAAGACATCTCACCAAAAGATGGCATCTTTATCCCCAGTGTCAGTATGGACTGAGTGATGAACGGATTGAGAGCAGCTCTGCTGAGGAAGACTTGGGGACACTGGTGGGTGACAAATGGGACATGAGCCAGCAATGTGCGCTCACTGCCCAGAAAGCCAACTGTATGCTGGGCTGCATCCAAAGCAGCGTGTCCAGCAGGCAGAGGGAGGCGATTCTCCCGCTCTACTCTGCTCTGGCGAGAGCTCACCTGCCGCTCTGTGCTCAGCTCTGGGCTCTACAGTAAATGAACTTATAATTTGGTACACAGTCCATGTTTTGTTTTGAAGCAACACCTGTTCTACAAGAACAGTCCTACACGATGCATCTAGTAATTTATCTGTTCATTTCTGCCCTGTTCCACCCAATGCCACCCTTCCTTGCAGTCAGAATGGTCGAATTTTTTAAATGATAAACCTTAAAAAACTTGCACACAATAACAGATATTTGCTGACTTGCTGATTAGCAACTCAAACACATGTAGCCGCTTTATAAACAGAAATCCATTCGCAGGTTGGGTAAACAGCCAAGGCTTGGGCAAGCAGTGGAGGTTTTACTCAACAACCTAATGTTACCTTCAGTAACTCTAGGAGACGATTCCTTCTTTTTGCAGGACTGTGACAGAAACATTTATCTCTGCCAATGCAATGTCTTTAGGCTTTTTGGCGAATGAGGGTCAGTTCTGATCTCCACGAGGACTTTTAAAAATCGAAGTTTGATGAACAATGGACTGTTCCTCTGCCTTGGATGCACCAGAAAAGCTGACCCATCAAAAGAAATGGCCCTTTTTTATCTGAGGTTGATTAGCCTCCTGTTAGAGCATCTTAAACACATCTCTGACCCTGCTGAGAAGGACCCAGGATAACGAAGCACAGCTTTGCTGAAGGCTGATTTTGCCTTCACCTCCCCACTGTGAATTTCTTTGCAATTACATCTAAAGCACTTGATTTTTCCCTTTGAAAAGCGACTGAATTATACTGTCAGTTCATTAGGAAATTACTGAAGTTTCCAGACTTGAAACCACGTACAACGCACTTGGTATGCAGCAAGTTTAAGTTAATAAGTGTCCCGAAGGCACAGCATAAAGAACAGTCTTTCTGCTACTGTTCAAAATCCAGCAGCAAAGCTTTATCGCTCCTTCGTTATGAACCCGATATACTGCTCCATGTAATCTGTTATTTTCAATCCCATTAGTGATTAAAATGAAATGGTGATTTAGACAAGAAATGAGTTACTAATGTCAATAACCAGCTCTGTCAAAGGAGTTCAATATTTCATGGCACACGTAACACTGACTGATCTAAACCAAAGTATGGGTGCTGGACTGAGAGCAAAGGATGGAGAAACTCTCAGCTACAACACAATTCTCATTTTAAGAAACAACTTGGTCATTTTAAGTGGAAGAAGTTTTACCATTCCTAATCCCAGGCTGCATAGTTGCTAATCTAAGTCAAGAGCTAGCCAAAAACTTCCCTGGGAACTTAACCGACTGTTTAGGAATAATGCTTACATAATTTTGCTTGTAAGTCCTACAGAAAGCTGAGATACTCTTATAGAGCACAGACAGATGCATCTTACACATTTTTGAGTCCTACATCTTAGCAGTACAAAGGAGAGGATGCTGCAGGGATGCCCGGCACAGGCGCTGCCCAGCCGTGTTGTTGGTCTCAGGACACAGGCAATCTTACCTGTTTCAGTTAAATTGAGCACAGTTTTAGGGCTGCTGGAACCACCAATTGGTTTTCACCAGGCAATAATGGGGACTCTCACAGTCACTGCTTAATCCTGTGTTATTTCTGTATTACTATTAAAAAAATAAAAAAAATAAAAATTGAACTTACTTTGCTCTGGGTTGATGTACTAATCCTGGGACCTCTTTATTAGATTTAAGTCTTACATTTGAACTGGCACTTTTTTCCTGAAATACACAAAAAAGACATAACAGAGACACCATCAATATTATTAAGCACACAAAGCAGGACAGGCATTTGTCGTCATGCTCTGCTGGGTTTAGGCTCTTCTACGTGCACGGCTGAATGACAACAGCTCATCAAGAACTAAATTAAAGGTGTCTTGGCTCCTCGTAGAGTCGTATCGACGAGGCAAAGCACCAGAGTCATCCCAGACCTGTAGGTCTGCTCAGAACTGAGGTGACAAACATGAGGATCACCTGGAAAATCCTACGTGGGAGAAAGCACAGATGAAACATGACAGAGAGAAGAGCGCGATGGCAGATGTGACCTGAAATCAGACAAGGGGCACAAGGAAACAAACCAGAATGTGTTTGTAGAGAACGTGACTGTGTCTTCCATGGAGATCCAGAGCTATTAAGAACATGTTAAAAAAGGGGTGGGGTAGGGAAGAGAGTTTAGTTGAGAGCCAGCATTTCAAGGTAACATCTTGTCCTCGTGCCAAAAGCTTCTGTAAACCAAAGCTTAGCACACACACGTGTCCACTGTCTGAAAAATCTCGGAGAAGGATACGGCCCCTTCCAGATCTTCCTAATGCTGCATGTTAGGGAAAGCTGTTGGTGCAGATGGGAGAGAGCTGAGTCAAATCTTACAGCTCGCCTGCTTCACAAATTCATCTGAATTTCTTAGGCATGTCATGCCCGTGACAATTTAAGAAATGTAAACGCAAGAGTTACTGCTTTTGTGGGCAATTTTAGTGGTTTTGTTCTGTCTTATTTAGCCTTTGAATGTCTGAATCACAAAACATGATTTAAGAGGGCTACTAAATAACTGAATTTTAAAAAAAAAGAGGCTGTCTAGCAGTTAATATTTTAATGAACAATTCTACAAGGGCTGTAAGCATCAACTGCCTCAGCATATTTAACACTGTTTAATGCATATCTTCTAATCCTCCTAAACAGAAAATGGTGTCTTGCATGAAAATAACAGTGTGAGAGAAACAAGCCCGTCTTCTAAGCCTTAACAAACCTCTCTACGTTACACCCTGCCTGCCCATGCGAAGACAAGGCAGAAGAACAGAAGACAAAACCATTTGCTTTCAAAGCATCTTCTGATTTTAACAGCATTAACCAGGGATAACTAGGGGTGGGGGGAAGATGTAACGTGTGTGGTGAACATGCGTGTACGTAGTCTCACAGCTCAGAGAAGTAGATGTATGACACCTACAACTGTCAAGCAAAATAAAAGGAGTGGGATAAGTGTCCTGGAGAAGACACCAAAACAGCTAAATCCCAACCTCATGCATCAGGTGAGCCTTCATCCTCAAATCTGCTCCGCTATCTGCCACAACACAGAAGCAGAAACTGGGACTGGTTTGTGCTGCACACCCGGATGTGCACATCTGGATGGCCCAGCAGGAGGCAGGTTCTGCAGTCGTAAGGTCCCCTGCCCACCCAATGCAATGCAAGGTGAATTTCAGGTTATCTTCGGTCTCTACATGCCGCCACCCTTGAAGGCACAGGCCTTTCCCCACCAAAAAACTGCTGCGAATCCACTGCCTCAGTTGAAAGGGAAGGGGAGCTCTGACGTACAGCTCCTGCGTCGGGAGCAGCGATACATCACAGTGGTGCCGACCCAGCTTTCCACATCTCCACTCGAGGTCTGGAGTCAGTGCAGCTCCACCAGTAGCTGGAATCAGCACAAATCCCAGCCTAAAGAAACTTCCGCCACTTCGGAACAAATAGAAAGACACAGGGAAAATACCCACTGCCTTCTCTTTGTGGGTCCCACAGGAACGTTCAGAATATTAACCAACGCACACAGGAAGATGGAAATAAAATCCCAGTTTACTTGACTTCAAGATACCAAAATTTACTCCTTCCCTCCTATTGTTTCTGATAATTAACACACCTCAATTACCTATTGCATGCAATACTACTTCATCAGAGCATGCCACC